CAGTGTTCACATTTGTAATTGCTTTATTTTTACTTTGCTGGAGATTTTCCCACCTTAACTGTATCTGAATGATTTCTAGAAATCCTAGACTACTACATGCCCAGAAATGGTCCTCAGGTTCAGGTTCTATATCCAGCCCAATTACTACGAGGATCAGCTGCTGTTTATTGAGCTACTCTCATGTGTTATGTATAGCAGTGCTTTCTTCTAGTTCTTCTATCCAATCCATGATTGAATTCATCTCTCTTTGCAATCAGGAAGCCTAAGGCTGAATGGCATTCTTGTGTGGTAGGCAGACAGATCCAGTTCCACCTTCAGGCCAGCCAAGGTCTTTCTTGAGTCCTTTACCCTGCTTCCTCCTCTGAGTTCACTCTCCACTTTAAGGTTCAGTAAAAACTCACACTCTCACCCTCTTCTGTTTTTTTTTTTTTTTTAATATGATGGGTCTCAGAGGCATATAAATTTGAGAACCATTGTATTAGTCATGAATCGAATTCTAGAATAAATCCGAAAGGAAGAAAAAGATTACTTACCCCAATCTTCTTAAGCGTGAGGCTGGGACATAACTCTTAGCATATTAAGTGAGGGCTGGAGAAATGGTTTAGTAGTTAAGAGAACTTGCTGCTCTTCCAGAGGAGAGGGCCTGAGTTTGGCTCACAACACCCACATCATTTGGCAGCTCCAGGGGATTCAGCACCAACACATTCCCTGGCCTCCTCAGGCAGGCAGACAGGCACACACACACACACACACACACACACACACACACACACACACTACATTAACAAGAGATAAGCAGGGCATTTATTAACATGCATAAGTGGTATCACACAAGATAAAAATTACTGAAAGCAGTTGTTTATGGTTCCATCTTAAATAATATTTTGACAAGGAGTGATATATTTTAGAGAGAAGTGACATGATTCAGGAAAAGCAATCCCACACAAATGTTTGAGAGAAAAGCTTGAAGATTCCCCAGGTCTTGAGGTCAGTATGCTCTAAGCAAGCAAAATGTGCATCCATCTCATTAATCAGAAAGAAGAGATATTTAGAAAGATGTTTTGTCTTCATAAATTTGTGTCCTGATTTTAGATAAAGACAGGGAATACCCCTATGTTTTAGGAGCCCCCAGCTTAAAAATGCTTAGATCCAAAAACCAAATTTTTAAACGTGTATGTACATTGTGTATGTGTAATTGCTCATGATCCTGTGTGCTTTTGCATGTGGAGGTCATCTCTCACTAGCCTGGAGCTCCTCATTCAGAAGAGGCTGGCTGGCAGTGAGGGCCAGGAAACCTCAAGGCTGTGTTTCCCCAGGGCTAGGATTATAAGCACTTAGCCCCACACCTGGCATTTTATGTGGCGATTGAACCCAGGTCCTCATGCTTGCAAGGTCAGTGCTTCACTGACTGAGCCAGATCCCACCATTTCAGAACCTAACTAGTGTATGCCAAGTACTGAGTACATGTTGATGGGCTGTTCTTAGCCTCCTCCTTACTGGCAAGTGACAAGTTGACCCTTGGTAATTAGCTTTAGGTCAAATATCCATTGATCACAATACTTTTTATGTATACATTTTATATGTCTGGGTGATTTGCATGTGTATATGGAGGTGCAGCACATGCATGCAGTGCCCATGGAGGCCAGAAGACCATGTCAGATCCTCTGGAGCCGACCAGAGCATTGTTAACCACTATGTAGGTGTTGGAAACTGAGCCTAGGTCCTTTGCAAGAGCAACCTGTGCTCTTAACTGCTGAGCCATCTCTCCAGCCCTGATTGTGGTAGGTTTTAATATTGTGAGAACTCAGCCTATTCCATCACCTTAATGTCATATTTAAAACCTAAGAAGTTGAAGGAATAGTTGAATCTACATGCAGTATTGAACCTGACTTTATATGGAAACAAACAATATCTAAACATTTTAAATGATAATTAAAGATAATTAAAATTAGGGCCAGGGGAAGAACAATGACATAAATTTTGTTTGACATATCTAATTATGTCTTTTCATTTTTAATTTCTTGCCCTAAATAGAAGGAAAATCACATTTTATATGTTC